CACTGCTCCTGACTAAATAACCTTTGTAACATCAAAAATACAGTGAAGACTATGCAGTTATTTTACATTTGATTATTACATTTCTGTAGCGTACCTGAAAATGTATTTTAGACTGAGCTGAAAAACCTGAAAAGCACTGTTTATTGAACTTATGTCTTTGTTGTATTGTATTTATTTTCTGCTATTGCTTGCAATTTACTTATCTGTAAAAAAGATTTTTAACACTGAGCCCATAGTAGCAGCCAGAACTGTTTTTCCAATTGTTTATATTTTATTATTTAAAAAAGAAATGTGTAGGCCTATTTTTTGTTGTTGTGAATGTTCAAATTGAGGTACAGGATGTGAAAATTTCAGATAAATATTCATGTTATATATTTTGGTTGCATTTGTGAGTTAATAAAAATATAGATGGTTGTTTAAAATAGATATATAACATCGATCGATATACTGTATCGAATCGAATCGTAATAGTATAATAGAATTTTTTGAGGTATCGGCAAATATCGTATCGCTGGGTATGAGAATCGATATCGTATTGTATCGTGACGAACCATCCGTTTTACACCCCTACAATTTATTAGTCGGTTTATAATACAGCATGTGGTGTATGCCATGACTCATTTTTATTAATAAACGTTTTGTAAGCTAGTTTGTCATTGTATCTTACTGGTTTATTGTTGTTGTGCTTTTTAATTAAGAATAACAATGAATCCATCTTTTGTTTTAGTCTTAAAAAGTGAAAGGTGTGTAGATGTATGTAAGCAGTGACAACAAGATCACGAAGCCCGAAACCCCGCTTATAACATAGCAAAAAAGGAACTCCCATTCACAAAATTCAAATCACAAATAATACTACTGATGGAAAAGAACGGGTTAAATGTTAACCACTTTCATTTCCATATAACTATAAAGTATGATAAAAAGTTCATCAGCATGCATTGACTAATCCCAAGTTGTAGCGCAAAAAAATAAAAAAATTAAAAATTTGCGACCAAATCATTTGCTTGTGTGAACAACTGAGAAAGTTAGTTGTATAAGAGCGACCAGTGGGAAGAATGAGTCTGGAGCCCTGTATATAAAAAGTTAGTGAAGGTCTATAAATTTGTTTTGTTGCATATCCCAGAAGTGTGTGTGTGTGTGTGTTTGCTGGATCAGCAGCATAGCCGTCTCTGTGTGTAGCGCTGACAGTGGCCATCAGCACGGCTCAGTAAACACACTAGAGGGGCCGGGCCCGGGGCAGCCAATTGTGGGCACAGGCACAGAACCAGACAGGGAATTACAGGGCATAGACAGGCAGAATAGCAAACAAACAATAATGTGCATAACTCATTAGGAATGTGTAAACAAACACATCCATCAGCATTCGCGCATAGACCGGAGGCCTTCGTTAAACTGTCCGCAGACACTTCAGCAAACAAGAAAATGAGGTACACTTCACTGAACACAGACATATACAAACTCTAACACAAATACCACCGCAAATGCTGCCTCTGTTAGATCCCCTTAAAATGAAAGGTTCATAAAGCTTAGTTTTCAGTTACAGTGTTTTACCTCGGTTAAGGGGTGTTCTGACTAGGGCTGCACGATAAATCGAAATGGAATCGAAATCGCGATTCGACAGAAGCTGTGATTGTCATGCGTATCTTTCAGTGAAGCACGGTTCTGTGATCAGCAGTAAATCTCCATCCAAAGGCCAGAGGGCGCTCTCACGCTGAAACTCCAAATACGCCTCGCAGAAGAAACCCAGGAAATGCCTATAGCGGTAGCTGGATAAACAGAAGATTTAACTGCTTTCATTGATTCAACGTGACTAATAAACACATGATTATGACAATATATGGTTTATCCGAGTTATTATTATTATAATTTCATTAAAATAAAGTATATTTATAATGCAATGCCTTTATCACTGCTTAAATACTTTGAAATATGTTGCGTGCCTTATTCTGTGTAAGAAGCCACATCATCTCACAGAAGGATTTATTTCAAACACTCGACTGACGTTATGAAGTGAGTTTGGAGTAAAAATATGTTATTAAATGTGACATTTTCACATGCTTTCAGATGGAGCAGCATTTACTTCACAGAGCCCGTAGTTCACTGAGAAGCTATGCAAACAGCTGTCATTATCGCGAACGATTTCTTCGATTTCATAATCGCGCAATAAAATCATCTGCGATTTTTTTTGCGTAACTTGTCAGTGAACTACGGCTCTGTGTAGTAAATGCTGCTCCATCTGAAAGCACGTGATGATGATTTACTGCTGATTGCAGAACCGGCATTATTAACAAAATGCGCATGACGATCGCATTCGATTAATCGTGCAGCCCTAGTTCTGACATTAACCAGAAGGGCTAAAATCCCTTAACCATTTTAAAATCACTATAATTCAAGACAATAAAATGGCTGCAAATGCAGTATGATACAAAACACTAATGTTAATGTTAATAACAAGTCATGCATTCATTTATATTATAGACTGTAAGGCTGTTTACTAATTGTCAAGGAACTAATAGAAGGTGTAGTAAGACAAAAATCAATTGCTGGTCACAGATGGTGCATCTAGACACATCTATCTTGATGCATCTAACAGCTGTGAATGTGTTTCATCCCATCAGAATTTGGAGCCGGAACTGTTTTATAACGCAGCACTCTCTGATGACACTAGCACACATGTATCCATTCATCCCGTCTGTCTGTCTAAAGAGGGCATTGATCTGCGCTGAGACAGCAGTCAGGACCAGAGTATGTGAGTGGAGCGGAGTGGGAGCGAGGAGTGGAGCGGCGTGATTTTGCCTGGAGCTAGGAGCGGATTTTTTGAAAGTCGGAGCGTTGAGGTTTTTACTCGCTCCAAGAACGCTCCGCTACCGCTCCGTCACGAGCACAAATTATGCCAACTCACGCATTAAACATAATTAGTTAGCTTGACAGATATGTGGATCCCATATGGTGATGATCCCTTCAACCTCCCGCGATGGACGAGTGCGGGAGGTTAAAGCATGTTGTAAATTGTGCTGCGACATTGCTGCACACGGACAGAACACACAAGCTCGCACATAACGTACAGATCGCGCGCATACATTCAGGAATGAAGAAAACGGAAAAGTTACAGCATATTCTTTCTATTTCTGAAGTAACTACCCTCAGCTTCGCTATAGAAGAGACATTGCACAGACAAGTAAGCTAAGCAAGTTAAGCAGTCATTTAAAGGAGTCATATGATGCTGCTAAAAAGAACATTATTTTGTGTATTTGGTGCTTCATGAGCATTTTACCATTTCTTTTGAGGAAAACTACTGTCATATCATATACAAACAGAAACCTAAAGGCCTTCACAGTAACCCGTCAAAATAAAAGTTCAGTTTAACTTGAAGAAACTGTGACAGTAATATTACTTAATGTAATGATAGTAGTACTACTACAAATAAAATTATTAAAACATTGTTTTTAAAGGAATGTTTACCAGAATCTATTTAGCAGAAAAATTTTAATTCACAAGACTATTTCTAAATAAATAAATAAAATAATATTTATTTAATATTATAAATATTTTTTATGAAATCAATTAATTAGAGATGCTTTTGATTATTAATATTTAATCAAACCATTAAAATAGAATCCAGAAAACTAAATGGAAAACAGAATTTGGTAAAAATAAAATTTAATTTGAGAAAAGTAAAGCATATTTTACTTTTCTTTAAATAAATTGCTGTTTAATATTGTACGTTTTCATTTCAATTAAATAGACATGCGTTTTGATAAATAACATTTAATTTAACAAGTAAAAAAGCAGGGCTCGCAAAATCGCTAGCCCGACGTCCCGGGGCTATTGTGTTTTCCAGTCAGGCTACCAAAATATATCACCACTCTGCCCGACGGGCTATCTTAAATACAGATCTCCCGCGGGTCCTTAAAAACTACTAAAGTGAGTTGTATCAAACTTAAGGCCATAAAAAGTTTTAAATACATTAAATGGTATAAGAAATGTATTAATTATAATTTCAAGAGGTCTTACAGTTGGGGACGGAAAGACAAGAGTCGCCATATGGCTGGATTAAACTTCAAAAGGCAATGATGTCATTGAATAAATATAAGTACTGCATGTTTCAAGTCAAAATGCAAGAGCTGCTTTGTGTACAGCCGTTACTGGGGAAACCACAATATTTCAGTGCTCCTAAAGCGCCACCTCGTGGCAGAGAATGAATTTGCATTTCCAATAAGCCTTTCTTGCTGTTTATGGTCAGATCAATGCCAATATCTCAGCAGCAAACACAGAGTTGTAAATAAGAAAGAAGTTAATGTGCCTTCTAAAAATCTAAACAATTAAGACAGTAATAGTATATTTATACGTTTTATTTATGCATAAAAATGGTCTAAAGGCTGAAATGCTGTTCTATAGGATTTTTGTTTTTGTGAAAACCTGTATCTGAACTGTAAATCATGTAATTTTATGGCTCAGTACTGCATGTTACCACAGACATTGTCCAAACCCACTCATAGTTATAGTTAAATAAAATTCCTTCCTTCATATTTGTTGATATGTGTGTATTGAAAATATTTTTGATCAACATTTAAACTCCTCTCTGGTTTTCTCTCTCTCATTCATATATATATATATATATATATATATTCTTTTTTTATTTGGGCTAGTTAAATTAATTTTCGGGCTACCAAAATTTGAAGAGTACCTGCCTGAAGGGCTAACAGGGATTTAGAAATGTTGCCAGCCCTGAACAGAGTCTAGAAAAATTCAAATGGAAAAAAAAAATCGAATCCTGAAAATTTTAAATGGAAAAAACGTAATTTGGAAAAAAATAAAACAGAATTTGGGAAAAATAAAAAGGACCTTCAATCCTTGCTTTATACATTTTGAATTTACCTAACAATAATAATGTTTGGTTGAAATGATGGGAAAAATGGTTTCTCTGTGGAAAAAAAAAAAAAAAAAAAAACCTTAAATCTTACCAAACTCCTAAAAGCAATGAGGTGAGGTTTCTTTTAGATGATCCCGCGCTGCTGGTGTCACTCAGTGCTATGACATTGAAACCTGTGGAGAGAGATGAGAAAAAAATCTGACCACAGTTTTTCACGCCATCACTCTCCATTCCAAACATTGCATAACATCTCTGACAATGCTGCTTTTCACACTTGGGTAAATATAGCTGTCCTGGTGCTGATGGTACTTTGTGGGCAAAGGCGAGCAGAGCCGTTCATGAATGCTTGTGTGGTGAAATCAAGCCAGTGACGCATATAGTTGGGTTGAGTTTTCTGAAAATTTGTCTTAATTTTAGGCTTAATCACAAATAATTGACTCAAAGCCTTTTCAAAGATTACATATCCCTTATATACCTGCAAAAAGTTGATTTATTGCAGGAGAACACTATATGGATGTGCTCAAAACTACAGACATGAACTAAATGCTACAAAACGTTTTATTTCAGTAAACTGTAACATCAAGTTTGCTTGGAGGAAAACAAACAAGTTTTCACACCTAAAATTCAAATGAGAAACACCATATCATTGATTTCTCTTCTCTGGAAGTGTACCAACCCTCAACACCAACACCGTTTTTATTTTTCTTCCTATGAATGTTATCTATGAAGCTTTACTAACTAAAGAGGCATAAAGAATGAGACGATGCCGTTCCACAGATGATAACAAAACCCAAGTTGTCAAAGACTAAACAGAGCAGAAGTACACCGTGTCATGGATGGGATGATTTCAGTGATCCAGTGTGTCTCCTGAGAGTCATATGTGAGTGAGTTCAGTGAATTCATGGCCAGAGGGCAACAGCGTCCCTATACAAAAATTTTCAAACACATACTTCCAGTGATGTGCCAAAGCCATCTGGAAACTACTGATAAAACATATCTCTAACAAGCAAACGCTTATGTTTACTACAGCTGAGGAGCCCGTCTTCAATCTGATTGGCTCGTTTAGTGTCTTACAACTGGACTGCAGTCTCATGACTCGAACAAATGACTGTGTAATGTGGTACATGAAAACTGTTCAACATGCAAAAGTAGTTTTATGCAGTGCCAAACCATTTACATACTGGCCCATATCCAACAGCACTGTCTCAGGTAGAAGGTTCTGCTTATTCCACATGACAGGCCTCATATCTGTATTGGGTATTCAGAAACACCAGCTTTCTAGAGAATTCCCCACTTCCATTCAGGTCAACTGACTGCAGGTGGACAGAAGAATCATACAGTGTTTTCTGCCCATCTCAGATGTCACTCTTACTGTCCTGAAGGTCAATCAGCATTGTGTGTTCTCATTCCTAAACAACCGCTGGGACTGATTCGGTTTCATTTTACTAAAACACCAATGGATAACCACCTTACACACTGTTCATGCAAAATATGCACCTTAATGTCCCGTTTTAATGTCATATGACACATTCATGGATGACGCAAGGTTATATTTTGCTGTCATTATTTTCACTTGCAACGCTTTAAATCACAAATTCTTTCTAAGAATTTGTAATAATGAAAGTAAACACATTTCTCATTAAACTGGAACTGTCATATTGTCATGCATCCTGTAAGAAAATAACAGAAACTTGATAACTAGAAAATAACAGAAACTAGATAAATCCATTTTCCATTACATTCATTTTAAATTAAAAACTCATTATCAAATTTCATAAAAAAATTTGATTTCATTTGCTGTGGTGCTGGAGATTTAACAGTGATGGAAAATAACAAAAACTTGCAACACTAACAAGAAATATACAATGGTTCCAATTAGTGTTATGTGGATTCAAATAACAAGAGAAGCATTTGTAATGAGAAGCATTTATAAACCTCTTGTCCAACAAAATTGTACACATTTAATAACATTTTATTCCAAATTCACTTAATTCACATAATGTCAGACAAGTGTTTGAAATAACTTTTATTGTGATCTGATGTGGCTTCTTATTAGGGATGTCAACGATTAACCGATGATCGAACACGTGTGAGTGACTGTGATGGTATATAAATGCATCATCATTCATCCATAATGTACAAATTAAGCTTTTAATGTGATTTAAACTTTAAAAGTACATTAAAATAGAAACAACACAAAGTTCTTCAACATGGAAAAGCAATAGAAATGTTGTATCTAATTTCCCCAGATAACTGTTTCATATTGTGCGCTTTGCAGGGCTGCGGAACACAGGACAGATAGGATATTCATTCCTACAACTTGTTAATTCGTTCCTATGACTTGTTAACTTGTGGCCACTGTCCATGTTTCATTAATTTTGTTCCCTAAATTACCCATGATTTAACTAAAATGAGGGAACAAATTAATAAATCGAACAAATTCTTAATTCATTGCCATGAAATCTTTCATTTCCCTTCCCGCATGTTTATCACAGTAAGAGATGCGAAAACGGTGATAAAAAGTGAATGACAATAAAATAAACCTGCGAAATTAGAGGATTAAATGGTGAGGATTTAGGAAAAGAAACAATGCCTAAATATTATTGAATTTGAGGAAATTCATGACCAAGCGGCAAACCAGAACAAAGCCACGTAAATGGGCTCGAACGACATCCAAAAGCATGGTCGCGATGTAACATTTTCCAGCTAACCAATTATGCAACGTTCACAAGTTTCTGCATGGACCTAACTATAGTGCACAAGGTTTTCAAGCCCTGAAACAAAATTGGATGCATTAAGGAAAATGTATAGCCTATGTAATTAATAGGCCTAAAATAAAAATAACACTTTGTTTTCATAAAAAAAAAAAAGCGAAATATATCTGATTATTTCGAGGTATCATATCAAATTTAGAAAACAACCATAGTTCCAATAAATATTTGCACATTTGACATGTCTGAATGAATGGTACATTGTGAAAATACTAGTAGAACATGTCCACACTTTGCTAGGACACCTGTGGGTAAATTGAAGAGACTTCATTCATCCACTAAACATCATCACAACACCAACTGATTCAAAGACATCAAGATTTTAAAATCGATGAAGAAAAGTGAAGCTGAGAGAAAGCTTCTGCAGAATTTGTGCACAGATGACTTGATCTAATGGAAAGCATTTTTAAATACGGCATACTTGTCCAAATACTTTGTGGATTTGCTGTGCTCTAAACAAACAGCAGGAACAGATGTGTATCATTATGAGTTCATTCATAAACTTAACCACCCGCCCTCCTGTCACTCTGGTTTACTATTGATCGCCCAACCAGGCCCACGACATGCAGTCAGTGACGTGCAAACACACAATCTTTCAGGTTTTATCTGCTGCTGTGTTTAGATGTCATGCATTTGCACTCCTTCAGCAGGTTGAGTGACTTTTAACCTGATGCATTTCGTTCCAAAGTCACACCATGAGTCCGATTCAAACCACATGAGAAACCCAACACCAAAACACAGCCGAAGAGCCAAAGGATCATCTAGCAGCACCACATGGATCTGACAGAAACACAACAAACCCAACACATGCCTCTCTCTTCAGTAGCACCAAGGCTACTGCAACCCTCAAAAATACCTTAGTTACCGCACTGAAACTATGGTAACTGTGGGTATGGAGTGCAACAGCTGGATTCTGGAAGTAAAAAAACAACAGATTTTCTCCACAAGGAAATTGGTCTTAAACGATAACTTAAAAACCTTTAAAGAAAGGCATTCTGCTATGAGGTTGATTATCGATGGCATATGAAGTCATCAGCCCGCATTATTTCAACATATTTTTAATAACCATGTTCAACAGAGAAAATCCTGGTGGTAAAACAATATTACTCATGATTCCACAGAGAAATATAAAAACAATCAGAGAATCACGACAAGCAAATTGCACCAAACACTTTAGCGCCTGTCCACTCCCATGAAGCAATGGGATTGTAGTTCTTTCCCTCAAGCTGTTAGAGGGACAGTTAATCCAAAAAAAATTTATTCTGTCGTTATTTGCTCACTCAAGTTGAGTTTCTTTCTTCTGTTGAACACAAAATATATTTTGAAGAATGATGGTAACCAAACAGTTGACGGTAGCCACTGACTTCCACAGTATTTTTTTTTTCCATAATATGGAAGTCAAAATCTACCATTTGATTTGACAGAATACTAATTTGTTGGGTGAACCTTTTTCAGACTTTCTTTTTTTTCCAGACTATCCATTTTTTCAGATTTTCAGACACTTTTTGTGCTTCAAATCAAAGTTTGTAATCTAATCTTGTGATTCTCCTCGTAGCTGATTGGTTTGGTTCTTGACTTATGTATTTTAATAATAATAATAATTGCTGGTAGGTTATCATTGCACAAATTAACACACTCTCTACAATACAAAAAAAATTGTCTTCACTGTATCTAACGCACACACGCTCAAGGCTGATTTATACTCAACGTGTCTGCAAGTTTTTTTTTTATTATTGCATAACAAGAACAATAACAACATAGGTGCGCATGGCAAATGTCATCGCGGTGTTGGCGGAAGTTCGCGTTGAGCGCGCGCGACGTCGTTTCGCGTGGCGGTGTGCACAACATTTTTTGTAACTTTCAGCTCCGATACAGCTCCGCTTCCGAAGATGCACGAGTTCAGAGCGACTCTAGCCGAACATGCACGTTTGTGCCAGCATTTGTGTGAAACAGAAGCAGTTTGATGTTAAGTTCAGTCACACACACAGATCACGTTGCGGCCGAACTCAAGACATTCTGGAACAAACTTTTTAGCGCTGCCCCGCAGTTTTATCAACTAAATAGTTTAATCGCTCAAGAGCTACATTATCTTTCTCAACAAGGAGCTGGTAGCGCTGCTAGATTCACTTTCGCCAGAAAGTCGTATATGCCTAAGGTTAAAAATAAATGACATTTATAGTGAATGCCCCTATAAATGGTGTTATTTTTACGATTTAAGTGCTAAGTGAGTGAACATCAAAGATCACACAACAGAAGTGCGCACGCTCGCACTCTCTCCCTACCGTTAAGTAACCAGTGCATTGTTTTACTTACTTGTTTTTGACATATCCGACCGAACTACAAACTTTCCAGTGATGTCTGTGAGAAAGATATATTCACTCGACAAGCTCGTGCATCAGCTCCGCTGCACGCTCAATCCACTCAGCGTGCTTTGTTTATCAGCTCGCGCACATCAGCTATACAGGCCTTAATACTGAATGTTTAACATTATATTCATTGCATACATACACTTCGTAGACATCCTTAATCTCTAATAACTCCATTCTACTGTCTGTTGTTCTGTTGTTGGTGTATCATTGTCTGAATATGGCACTTATCACATGCTGTTTGGTATCGGGGCATTTTAACGAGTACGAGTACAGGAGCTCAGTATCGGGCCCGATACCGATACCAGTATCGGTGCATCCCTACCAAGAACTTCATTTGGACAACTTTAAAGGCGATTTTCTCAATATTTTGATTTTTTTTTTGCACCTTCAGATTCCAGATTTTCAAATAGTTGTATCTCGGGCCAAATATTGTCCTATGCTAACAAACCATACATCAATGGAAAGCTTATTTATTCAGCTTTCAGATGATATATACACATCTCAATTTCAAAAAATGTACCCTTATGACTGGTTTTGTGGTCCAGGGACACAAATCAGTATTATTAATACATTACAGTTAAACAATAAGAATTACTCACATGATGCAATGGTAATCATAGTCTCCACCAAATTATAATAGCTAACAGTTTTTGATCTCCTCCAAGAAGTGCAAGAAGCTTCCAGAACGCAAACTGTATTAACAATAACTATGTTAACTGTTATTATGCTGGCAACATGGCAGCTATTGTCTCAAAAGTACTCCTAGTATCTTGATATTATACACCATTGTCACAAAAACCGAATCCAAAATAATGCATTATGATTTCGTATAGCATTACTTTTACCATGGCGCCCATAGTTTCCATTCAAACAGTGAGCGTTTTCTTATTTATAACAATCGTGGTGAATAATACGTAATGAATGTCAGTTTTATTGTTGCAGCAATAGGTTAAACCGGTAACCATAGTGAACTGCTGTAAAGGGCTCGATCTGTCAGTCAGATTCGCGGCGGTTGTAGCACCGCCTGACTGGAGAGCTAGCGAAGTAACCGACAAAAACTGAGCACCAAGGCCGCGTTTCTTCCTCTACTATCGGTCAAGCTTATACCAAACCATCTAAATAGCACCAGGCTCTAAACCGCGGTGGTATTTTACCGCTCATGTGAAGCATTTCTGACATTTCTCCTCAGCCGAGGCCCGTTTCGCTGTCTGTTGTTGTTGTTGTCGCGAGCGGAGGGCGGACCCCTCAGATAAGGCCTTAAAACACACCGAAAAACACCCGCATCCCGCGCCAAAAGCACTCCGCTCACTCACCTGAGGGCAGCCTTCTAGGCAGAGCGGGTGTACGCTTTCTTCCGAGCCGCAGGAGAGAAGATTAACGACGAACAAATCGACAAATTGCACCTCGTAGCCATTTACAGAATCGGCCCGTCCCACTGTGGAATCCCGTCGTCATCGCAGGCAGCTACCACGACGCGAGGACGTCAGGACGTCATGACGCAGATTGCGTCAACACGTTCGAACGTGTGGGGGAGGGTCGGATAGGTAAACAAGCTTTGAAGTGGATGTCGTAACCGGTTGCTGGGGCCAATGAATGCGATGAATACATAAATACTTGACGCACAAATAATGTCGACAATATCAAATTGACTTGAACTGAAAGTGAATTAAAGGTAACAATTTAAAGTTGATTTGATAGACAGTTGTCACTTATATTTACTCCATATATGTTCGGGTTTACTTAGTATGGCTTGTTTTTGTAAAAAAAAAAAAATTCTAAAAACTTTTATCTAATAATTGTGTCTTTATATCTCACAGTTCTGCATTTTTCCCTCAGAATTAAGATAATTATTCTTATATATATATATATATATAATTTTACATATTTTTAAAGTTATTTTTGACTTTTTATCTTAACAATTCTGACATTTTATTTTAATTGCAAGTTCATATAGCTCTCAATTCCGACTTTATATCTCTTAAGGAAAAAAAGTTAGAATTGCCAGTAAAAAGAAGTCCAAATTGTGAGAAAAGTCCTCAAATTACCTTTTATTTTTTTTATCCATTGAATAAAAATGTTGAATGTCAATTTCCAAATCTATAAATCTGTTGACAAATTAATGAAAATTTGAAAAATGGCAAGAAAACAAGCATTAAGCAACTGGCCTTTTGATTGTTTGTAAATGTGTGTGTCATTTAATGCAACGTAACGCTTTTGGTTTTGTTTTTACTCATAATCTTGTTTCATAAAAAAGTACAAGGTATAACAAAAAACACACAGACAAGATAGATTTATACAATAATGTACTGTATTCAATAATGACTCGGTACATACTGTATGTGATTAAAAGACACATGACATTTGACATTTATTTGTCCTCTCTTTAACAACCAAAGCTTTAAGTGCTCTGCCATAAGCTCATGGGAAATGTGTGCAAACACACCAGAACGTTACAGGAAATTGGACGGAGGAAAAAAAAGACTATTACCTAGCCAGACTTTCAGCGCAAAAGAGGAACAACCAAAGAGTTTTGCCTCCTGCTTGTGTTAGATTTCAATCTTGTAATCATCACAGAGCCTCATTTACACACACTCCAAACACAAACACACACACTAAATCATACGCAAAACCGACAGTTTTTTAATTCTTCAGTGAGGCTGTTTAATTGCTAATATTCGAATAAACAAAAAGCCAGTGTTTCCGAGGGCTCTGGGATAATTCAAATACAAACACACTCAAGCACCAGAGATATTAAAAGTAATCTTGTTTTGGCCGAGTTACTTACGACCTCTAATTTTATTAGACCTTGGAATGCCACTTTCCACAAATAAGGTACTAAACAGCCTGAAACGCGAAAACAAAATCAAGCTTTTTTCCTTTTCAGCAAGTGGTTGATAATCATCTTCAGGAGGTCAAACATTTGATGTTGTGTTTAGTTTATATGAAGTGTTCTGGGACCAGGGTTATTAAAGTTAATCTAAAACTTAAAGCATTAAAACAAATGCATTATTTGAAATAAAATAAAAATGAACTGAAAAAAAAATCATCTAATTGCAAAGGCAGCAACTTAGTTAATTTAATTTAGTTCAACCTGATACACCTATACAAGGTGGGGGGAAAAAAGAGGAGGAAAAACTACTAAAATGGCAAAAATGCACAACAAAATTGCTAAAACAGTCAAATAAAAAATTAAAACAGAAAATCTTTTTTTTTTTTTGGTAATAGGGAAAATCATTCGGTAACAGGGGTGGGAAACAGCGAAGATTATTTTTAGTTATTAAAATGAGTTACTTCGATTGAATTTCAATCCAACAGATGTCAATAGTAAACTTACAACAGTCAAAATTGACATTTTGCATGAGTTTGAAGGTCAGGATCTCTGAGGTGGGATATTTTAAGGGTTTGAAATGTTTCAACGATCTAATTTTCTATGAGATGGTTTCTCATATTCTCACACAAAACTATGCATTTGCGCCTCTAAGAAAAGTCAAAGTGTACCATATTTGTGGAAAATACACCGCATCCTCCATTATAACCTGTAGGAAGTGAAACTGTGTTAGTGCTGATTTCTTGAACAAAAATACAAGAAACGCAATCTCGTCCTTGCAAATAAAAAAAAAGGCATGCAAATTTCCAATGTTAAAAAGGAAGCATAGTAAACGACAGCAGTTTATAATGGCTAAAAATCTGTTGTCATCAGAGATTTTTATTACATGAGCAGTAAACATGGGAGATAAAAAAAACAAGTAGTGGTCATTGTTTCACTTGAATCAGCAGTACAGGCTTCTGACGGCGTTAGTCACAAGCGTTCAGATATTCTGGACCGTTTGTTGCTTATTAATCATCATAAGAGTATGAATTATAGTACATGAGATTCTTATTTCCAATTGATCAGATATACAAATCGCACGATCCGATAGATTTACACTTTGTCGAGAACACTGAAACAAAAGCAAACGGCGGTTAGGAACAGTAAACGTTGACCAGTGGTGTGACCTGACAGGTTTTGTAAAGCTTAGAGAAGCAAGTCTACCCTGAGAGAAGTTTCTAGAACATGGGCAAGCTTGCCAGACCCCCTCTGGCTCTATGTGTTTGGTTAATATAACTGTACACTCTATTAAATATCATCAGCACGCTAGTGTCAAGGACCTAAGATATATCCCTTTCAGTAAATGTGTAATATTTATATTTATATTTACATATGTTTTAAGATCCGATCCTCAGTACTCTTAAGACATGTGCAAGTGTTTTCTAACAACCTCAACGAGACGTGAAGGCAAAGACAAATGCAGAAGAATTCACGATTTTCTAAGTGCTGCGTGTATTTTTCTGGTGTGGTACTGGTCCAGTATAAAACATGATACAGTAGGAAAGGAACGTCAAGTGTTTTCAAAAACCATAAATAAAAAAAACAGCATTTCAATCGATCGACAGCAGCAAAAACAGACCGATGAAGAACATCTGGACTGATCGAACACATCTTTTCAGCAGAGCTTTGACGCACTGTGTGATTTCAACACTTCGTGAGAGAGTTGCACAAAACAGTGTTTGCTTCGGTCGTTGTGTTCAGATTTCTATTGCGTTTTGCAAACGAACATCTGCTTCTGATTTAGTATTATTCAGTGTTGGACCTGAAACAGACTCTACGCAAGTATGTGTTTCCATCGACACAAGAGAAAAGTGTCAGAGCGCAATACACTGATGCAAAATACAGACAGCATTTGTGCGCTTTACTCTTCCAGGTCAGTTATGACAGAAATCAGCAAGTTAGTTCAACTAAATTTAGCTAAGCTTAGTTAAAGTCGGTCATTTATAGCTAGCAACCTTAATATCGTGTCTGATTAAATGGCACAGACATTTATGTATGTATATAACAAGAGGAAAAACAAGAAAAACGAATATACTGGAAGAAACGTCTTATATTAGGGGAAATTTGAAAATTGTTTTGGACAATGTGAGGCCTTTGAGTCGAGAAGGTTGAGAATCACGGATATAAACACTGCAAAAATGATTTTCTTGCTCAGTATTTTTGTATTTTTTTTCCTGCAGTACAAATATTTAGGCATTGTTTAAATCAAGATACATTTGCTTAAAAATACCCAGGATATTAAGTAGGGATGCACGCTATTGGATTTTTGCCGATATCCGATAATTTTCAACTCATTTTGGCCGATAGCCGATATATAATTATTTTTCATTTTGGTTAGTTAGTAACTTATTTGTTAGAATTAAATAAACAATAATAAAGTTATTTCATAATGACAGTACACTGAAGATTTGTAAATAACTATAAATAAACTATATATTATTCACTGCATTTTGTTTTTCAGAAAGATGCAGTGGTAACCTTAACATTTTATTTTATGATTTAACATTTGTAAATGGTCTAAAGCAAAAAAGTTGTAAGAATTCTGAAAGTCTTTTAGAGCTCATAATTTGTTTAAAAAATAACATATTATATACATTAATGAATAAATCAGGATATATGAAATTATTTAATTTAAGTGTTTAAATGTTTGTGATTTTTTTTTGTTCATGTAAGCTATAGCTTCTGACCTTTAAATCAAAACATACTCAAGATTTTATGGCATAAATTACTGCTTTATTTAATCAGAAACACAGTCTAAATGTTATTTGTGTATTTTGCTTTCATTTTATTATAAGTAGGCCAACAGCGCACCCTACGGAATTAAAACTCCTTACTGAGCGAGCTTTAGGACCCGGGGGAGGTGCTATTACTGTCATTCTGTACACTGCTTTCTCAGTTTAAATGCCGTGATCCAAAACAGTGAATCCAATCAACATTCAGGCAAAACTTTGCTTCAAGAATGAGCCACAATGCTAACGTGATCTAATCGCTAGCACACCCTGAGCACATGTGAGTTAATGTATTCCTCTTATCGGCAAGACATATCGGCATAATTTTTCATATCGGGCCGATGCCGATATTTACATTTAAAGCCATTATCGGCCAATTCTGATATTGGTCCGATAATATCGTGCATCCCTGATATTAAGTCTTGTTTGCTGAAACATGAATCAAAATGACGTGATTTTATGCTTAAAACAAGTAAAAAATATCTATCAGTGAGTTAAGAAAAAAAAATCTTGTTTTCCCTTTGAATTGAGATTGTTTTACTCCAATGACAGTTTTTTTTTTCTTGTTTCAAGCATAAACTCGATAATTTTAAGCATGAACTTAATTAAATATATTTTGATTTAATAATTTTTTTGATATTTGTACTGGAAAATAAGACACTTTTTTTATTTTTTAAGTATTGCAACTTTAAGTGAATTTAGCCATTTTGGCTAATGACAAAATTGTGCTAACTTCACTTTCATTGGACTGTCCTCCAGAACAGTGTCAGTAAACCTAAACATGCAAAATCACTTCTTATTCAAAATCTTACTGTCTACAGAGTCTGGTTTTGTCACAGAGACAGGCCTAATTTCTCAAGACACATTTCAGAGATATATTTCAAGTAGTTGGAAAACATTATGCATGCTTTTCAAATAAAAAAATCGAATCAAATCAAATACAAAATTAAATTAAATTAAACAGCTTGCAATGCACTGACCAAGCATTCACATCTGCGTTTGTATACTTGCGTAGAGTGTGTTTCTGGCCTTTTAATATGAAATAAAACTTCAGTGAATATCCTGCAGTAAAAAGAGCACCTGGAAATAAGTATCAAAATCACTAAAATACAGCAGGTGCTCATGGGATACGAAATAAACAATTAAAGCACACTAAAAACAGGTTCTCATCTGATCTCCAGTATGTCATAATTCAATTTTAAGTGCATTTATTTTAAACCTGCTAAAATGTGTCTTAATAATTATAAAATGACCTGCACATAAAGTGTCACACCGCCGTAGATAAAGTCCTTCTCCACAGGATCAGACTTCATGTCGTTTCATTCAGAAGGAGTGACGTGACATGTGAGTGACGTGACATGTGGCCAAGTATGGTGACCCATACTTGGAATTAGTGCTCTGCATTTAACCCATCCAAGTGCACACACACAGCAGTGAACACACACCGTGAACACACACCCGGAGCAGTGGGCAGCCATTTATCGGGAGGGACGGTCGGTGGAAGATTGATGGATGAGGAATGAGAACACAAGTACGGCCACCCGAGACCACGACTGCATCACTGATCAGTTTAAACCATATGCATGCTAACAATTCCCCGTGAAAACCCATCCCACCCCACCAGTCGGGGACTCGACTGAAACGTATCTTACATTATATCCAACCCTTTGGGCGGAAAACTATGCTACAGGAGGTACACTGGCCCGAGTGTGTTTGTGTGAGACCAGCTCATCGGGACAGTGAGGTAGAGCTGGCATGAATTATTGAGAATGTGCACTGCAAAAACAGAGTTTCTTACTCAGTATTTTTGTTGTTTTCCATTAAAAATATCAAGATGCATTCACTTGACAAGCAAAATTACTTCAGATATGATGTCTTGTGTACTGAAAAATTAAAATGAAGGGAGTTTATGCTTAAAACATGAACAATTATCTGTCAGTGGAGTAAGGAAAATAAACTTAAAGGGAAAACAAAGAAACAAGAAACAAGCAAACCTATTTTTGATTTATATTTTAATTGTGAATAGATTTAAGATGTTAGGCCCTGTTTTCTGAAAAAAAAATCATCAAAATTAAGTGAGTTTATGCTTACAACAAGAAAAATATCTGTTAGTGGGTTAAGAAAAATAAACTTAATTCAAAAGGAACACTTTTTTTATTACCACATTGTCATATTTTGTCTTGTTGAAGCATACTCGCTTAATTTTTTATGTTTTGTTTTTTTAAATCTCAATTTATGTATGCTTAGATATTTATACTGTAAAACAAGACTGATTCATTTAATTATTTTTCACTTGCTTAAAACAAGAAAAATCTGCCAATGCGGTAAGAATTATTATTATTTTTTTGCCTTTGATGAAGGCAAACCAAGATTTTCTTATCCCACTGATAAGTATTTTTAAAGCAAAACCTCACTTAATTTTCAATTGATTTCAGTTCAGTTGAGAAGCAAATTACTTATGATATTAAGCCTTGTTTACTGAAAAAAAATATGTTTATGCTTAAAACATGAAAATCATCTGCGAATGGGAAACGAAAAATTCTTGTTTTAAGCAAAAACTTGTGTCTTTTTGCTTCTCAAGTAAACATCTTGATTTAAAAATATTTTGATATTTGTACTGAAAAACAACAAAAATACTGAGTAAGAAAAATATTTTTTGCAGTGTGTAAACTGTGCATAAGAACCCTGGTGTAAAACCTCAAAGTATCCAACCAAAAACAAAATAAAAAAATGACACATTCACGAAATCAAGAATGCATCTACCATCGTACCGACTTTTTTTACATTTCCTTTTTTCTTGTTTTTTGCCGTTTTTCTCTTTTTATAGTATCGCTCAAGTATATCACAGGTTACTATCTAGAGAGGAAATAGAGGGTAAATTATGTTCCATGCTACATCTTGTTCAGAGAAGGCTATTGCAGACGATTTCTACAACACACACAATCACACGTTGTACGCTTGTATAACAAAAGATCCAAAACATGTCACCAAGAAACTAAATACATACGCAATGTTCACTATTTAGAGTCTTTTAGGACTATCCCTCGGTCAACGTGAAGCTGTCGCACGTCACTTGACTTCGCTGTCCCGTCTTACAGACAAAAGTTGAAAAACTGCTATTCAAAAATTAGCAAATTTGGTCATTGTCTCTCTCTTGTTTTGTTTTTAAATAAGTAGTGCTTTTTGATGGCTTAAGACAGAGGTCTATATTTCATAATCTCACCCAGTGGCAATCTACAAGACGTCAGTGTGCATTTCATGACACCGCTACGTTAACTCTCCTGTGACGCAGAATCCAAAGTGACTTTATCAAAATAGCTCAAACGTGTTTATAAATATCTGACGCTTAGGCTCTTGGTCTAGAACTCCCACTCGAGCGTCTCCTCGCGGTTGGCGGCCCGCTCCAGGCGATGGATGATGTTATTGAGGTTGGCCATCTTCTCGTTGCGTCTCTGAGTGCTTTTGTTGAGTTTGGAGTTGAGCGAGGGCGAGCTCGGCGGGTGATGGTGGCTCGGGGCCGGCGACGGGGAGATGGGGGCAGAAGAGGACGGGACGGGGGACACGGACATCATGAGGCCGGGCGAGGACGCGGCGGAGGGCGAGTTGAGCGACACCTCCAGGCTGCTCCGGGACGGTTCGGATGAAGCCTTGAAGCTGACAGGATCCTCGGGCGACTTCTCCAGCTCCTCTACCTCATGGCTGTTCCTCGGCGGTTCGTCGTCCTTGACGCCCAGCGAGCGGTGCGGGGGCGTTTCCGGGTCGCTTTTGAGCTGGGCGAACTGGACGCCGACGGAGAAGCATTTGGCCTGCCGCAGACGGAGCTCCTCGTCCTCGCCCGGCTCGCTGGCCTCCTGTTTGAGGGCGAAGCGGCACGGGCCGGCGCTCAGAGGGCGGCTGCGGACGGCCGAGGGCTGCTTCCTGTCGTCGCGGTCGGACAGTGGGGAGTAGTTGTTGTGCTCGGCGTCCGTGTCGTTGTCTTGGAGACCCTCCATCAGGACCTCTCGTCGCATGCGGGACCTGTCGAGAGGAAGACCATAAGAGGAAATACATTTACTAATTTTAGGTTTAGCATGCTTTATAGTTGTCACATGATTTCACCAGTATTGTTTACTAAAACTATTTAAAAAAAAATCAGTAATTGAAATAAAGTTTAAATAAAATTAAATATAAATATTAGATGGAAAAAAATTTGAAATCTTGTCTTGGCAACTATCTGAAATCAATAAGTTGAAATATTAAAATGACTCCAACTAAAGCTGAAATAAAAATGAATAAAAGCTAAGGCTATATAAATGAAATAAAAACTAATAAAAATGAACAAAAGCACATAAAATATATTTAAGTTTAAATAGAAATTTAATAACAGTGAAATAAAAATGTATTAAAACAAGCAAACAAAAATAATAGCTAATTCAAAATATTAATAAATAATACATAAATACATTTAATAGTAAATAAATAGTATCTAAACAACACTAAAAATAACACTGGATCTCACTACATTCCAAACAAATCCAGTTACTGGCTGAATAATAAACAATAACTGAAATGAAATGAAACAAAAATGAAAATAAATTAGCCATATAGAAATATTGAAAAAAAAAAAAAAAAACGGGTGAAAGCACATAAAAACTAATAAAACTTCATCTAAAATAAGAAAACTGAAATGATAAAAATATAATTTAATTCAAAATATTAATAAATACTACAATTGTATATTTAAATACACTAAAAGAACACTGGTTCTCACTACATTGCATGTGTAATTCAGTAAACCCAGTTATCATCTGAAAATCAACAGTCTAAATTAATTTATTAATAAAATGTCTTAACATTTGGATCAAGAAATATGGCTCAATGCCGCTTTCAATTTCAGTTCGAGAGCTATTCATTATGGGATATTGCCATTACCGCGAGGAGTAGGGGTGCTGCAGCACCCCCTGGAGTGTAGCCCACCAAAAAATGGGGGTGCGGTGTTAAAAATAAATGAATGGACAATTTGTAACAAAAAATAAATAAAATTCATTTTATTAATTTGTATATTCATGAAAATTTATTGAAAAAGTAGCCTAAGCCTACAATGAGAAGAAGCAACGGTTAAACGTGAGCTAAGTTGAATCAAATTGACTGTGAAAGTCGTTTCAACTTATTAAACTGGCTTAAAAAATTATTTGTTTTTTGATTATATTATTACCTGTAACATGTCTGTTCCGTAGGCTACCCAAATGAAGAATTAATGACCATTTCTACAGTCAGACATAGCAAAGAGACAGCAGAGAAAGAGCGAGAGCGTCTACCTCAGCAGCAACAAATCTCGCATTCTCGCATCTGTAGTGCTTATTTTGATCTTTAACATTAGGTCTTTCCTATTCTTGAAAAAAATAATGCTTAAGGTTGATTCAATATTACTCTTAATAAATAAATAAGGTCTAGACTCTGTACAGGTGTAGCCATACGATTCTCTTGTTTCTCACTTTTTAATTCCTCAATTATCCTGCAGGTGGAGCCAAACTCCCATTCAACGCTTCAAATGCTAACAACAGTTTGGACACAAAACTCTCTTCTGGCTGTCTTTACGAGGTTAGCAGCGGATTCGGACCTGTAGTTGTGGAACCAGTTGATGACGGTGTTGGTTTTGAGGTTGAGTTGAGCGGCCAGCATCTCGATGGTGTGCTGCGAGGGATACGGCTCCTGCAGATACGCCTTCCTCAGAGCCTCCTTCTCCTCAGCCGCCAGCACCACGCGGGGTTTCTTAGCCTGGCTGAAGGGGCAGAGCTCCAGCGTGGTCAGACCCGGACTGATGCAGTCTGAATGAGCGCCGGGGGAATCGCTGTCTGAGCCGGGACTCAGCAGACCGTATCGCCTCTTCAGATACGCTGGAGAAAACCAGGACACATACACTCTGTGTTGAAGCAGTTACTTCAGACGACTTTACAAATTATGATCAACTGCATCTTCACAGAAAGTGCATGTATATATTAGTGCTGTCAAACGATTAATCGCATCCAAAATCAAAGTTATTGTTTACATAATATATGTGTGTATACTGCGTATATTTATTATGGATATATAAATACAAACACATGCATGTATATATTTAAGAAAAATATGTTATGTTTATATATTAAATATATTTATATATAATATAAAATAATATAAATATATAAATGTATATACATGTAAATATTTTCAAAATATATACTGTATGTGTGTGTATTTATATTAACATAATAAATATACGCAGTAAACACACATATTATGTAAACAATAACTTTGATTTTGGATGCGATTAATCACGATTAATCGTTTGACAGCACTAGTATATATATATATATATATATTCAATATAAATACAAAAAACCCCCCCATGAAAATACAATAATAAAAGCTAATTCCAAATATTAAATACTATAATAGTACATAAATAACTCTAAAATAACACTGGATCTCAAAACATTGCATGTGTAATTCAGTGAATCCAGTTATTGTCTGAAAAGTAAATATTATTAATAAAAGTTGGATCAAAATGCAAAAAGTTTAGCAAATTATGATCAACTGGATCTTCAAAGTGGATCATAAGTAATAATAAAAAGCTTAAGTTAAAATACAAAATTTAATAAAACTGAAACTACAATAAAAATTAAAGATGTACAGAATTATTTTTACTCCCCCATAAAAATAAAAATGACAAAAGCACATAACAAAATTACCAAAACTTCAAAACTACAAACATTAAAAGAAAACTGAAAATGTAAAAATAAAAGCTAATTCAAAACATTAATAAATAATATTATAGTATATCAATACATTTGTTGTTTTTATTTTTTATTTTACTTTATTTTAGTTCATTTCTATATACTGTAGCTATAGAAACTGTAGTATTTTAGCTGTCAAGGCAACATTTCTTATTTAACTTATGTTTAAGTTTTTATTCTAATATTTATATTTTATTTTAAGCTTTATTTCATTTACAGAAAATAATTTTGAATAGTTTTAGTTAATTATAACAACCTTTGAACAACAGTATATAAATAAGAGTATAAATAACACTGGATCGCACTATTTTAAATCGAATTTATTAATACAATTTAGATCAAAAAATGAAACGAGACAGAATCAAAAATGAAGAATGAATAAATATTCGTACTAGTCTGTTCTCTTACCTTTCTTCTCCATCTTCTTGACGTCTCGGAGTTTGTCGATGTTGTGCGGGTCGTTGAGCCACAGCTGCATGCGGACGAACGGCTCGCGGCCCTTCAGACTGAGCTTATGCCAGGGCTTCGGTCTGGACAGCAGGTCAGACACTGAACCCTGAGTCAATCCCAGAATGCTCTCTCCAAACAGACGCTGACCTGCATCAACACGCAAGCTCGCACAGTTACCAATCCAGCCCACAGTCTTAGAAGGCTCCTCAGTTGAACATTAAACGTGAATCAGTTCAAAATCTCAATGAATCCATTTTTTGCTTACATTAACTTTTAAAAGGTTTTTTTTTTTCAGCAAGGATTCATTAAATTGATCAAAAGTGACAGTATAGACATTTATAGTGTTACAAAAGATTTCTTTCAAGTAAATGCTGTTCTTTTGAACTTTCTATTCATCAAATAATCCTGAAAAATAAAACGTGTCACAGTTTCCACAAAAATATGAAGCAGCACAACTGTTTTCAACATTGATAATAATCAGAAATGTTTCTTGAGCAGCAAATCAGCATATTATACTGATTTCTGAAGATCATGTGACACTGAAGACTGGAGGAATGATGCTGAAAATACAGCTGCGCATCACAGAAATACATTACATTTTACTATACATTCAAATAGAAAACACTTATTTTAAATTGCAAAAACATTTCATATTATTACTGTCTTTATTGTATATTTGATCAAATAAATGCAGCCTTGGTGAGCAGAAGAGACTTCTTCCAAAAACATCACTGGTAGTGTATATATTATTATAGCATTTTAGTAATATTTGGAATTAGCTTCTATTTTTATATTTTCATTTTAATTTGAGTTTGTTTTAGCAATGTTGTTGCATGATTTTGTCATATTTATAGTTTTCTATTTTTTACACAGCATTAATCCTTTCATTAATACTATAAGAACTTATATTCTAAACTTTATAAGGTTATGTTTTTATCTAACAGTTATAAAATGTTTATATTATAAACATATTACATTTCATTTCATTTTTATTACGATTGCAGTTTTTAATCGTTTTAGTTAACACAACATTTGATCAAATAAATTCAGCCTTGGTGAGCAGAAACATCACCCAACTTTTGTACGGTAGTGCCAATTTTACAAAGTGCTTTCACAGAGTGCTGTAAATCACCTAAGTTGTTGTCGGTCAGCACTTCCTTCACTCTCTTGGTGATGGCGTACGTGTCCAGCTCCGGAGACATGGCCACCAGCTCCTGGATGCCCAGCGGTGTGTGGGGCTGCTGCGGGACCATCATGCACGGCGTGCTCTTCCCCCCGTGGGGCTCGGCGTGCTGCGGGTGCTGGTTCTCCTTACTGCTCTCCAGCGCCAGACTCACGGGCTCCAGGGTCATGCTGGGGTGACCGTCCTCAGGACTCGGAGGAGGGGACGGGGACGAGTGGCTCGTCACAGGGCTCTTATCTGAGAACCAACCACCAAAGATGATATTAGTATTCACAGTCAGAAGCATTTTACGTGCATTTGTTATGTTAAAAACACCAAAATTATGAAACAACACATCTTACACATCTATGGACGGATAACAAAACCCAGAAAACAAAAGGAGCAGAAACATACTAATTCATACAAAAACTGACATTTTTTGTTTATATTCAATATTTCTGTCTTGTGTCCAATACAAATATCTAAAAACATCATAAAACATCATAAAAAATAAATATAATTGAGTGGGTTTATGCTTAAAACAAGATAGCTGTCAAAACAAATATCTGTCAGTGGGGTGAGAAAAGAAGTGTTATTATTTTTTTTTTACAAGAAATTAAGTTTATTTTTCTTACCCCACTGACAAATATGTGTTCATGTTTTCAGCATAAACTCAATTAATTTAGATTTTTTTTTTCAGAACACAAGACTTAATATCTTAAGTCATTTTGCATCTGAAGTAAATTTATTTTGACTTAGGAATTTTTAGACATTTGTACTGGAAAAACAACACCAAAAATACCTTATTTATTTATTTAGCCATGTAGGAAATAAGAAATAGCATTTTGCATACATTTAATGAAGTCTAACTGTAATATGTTTGGCATTTCCCATCATTTCAATGACAATTAATCTAATTTCCCCCTTAAATGATCATTACTAGAACGGTTTCTTTACTGTAATAATATAAACTGTTGTCATTTATACTATAAATGATATACTAAAAATGTTTTTATATAATAATAATAATACAACTGTATTTCTAATTGTATTTTTTACCTGATTTGTAATTATTCTAAGATTCTAATCACTATATTTTTTTTATCAAAATGCAAAGGGAAAAAAAAACAATTATTTTGTTTAACCAGTACAGCAAGTGAAGATTAATGTTCAACTGAAGAGTTTGGTTCCAAAATGTGATAAACGCCATTTTTTTTTCTGCCAGAGACACACAGACATTCAAATGAGTCTGAACTAATAATGCTCACCAATCAGCTTGAAATCAGCTTTCACTGGCAATATTCTACTGACCACTAGATGGCAGCAAAAAACAATCCAGGAACTTCATGTAGCAGCTCATTACTGAACTTACACTACCGCTCAAGAGTTTAGGATCAGTAAGTTGTTGTTTTTTTTTTACAGAAATAATTATTTTTATTGAGCATGGATGCATTAAATTGATCAGAAGCGACAGTGAAGACATTTATAATGTTAGAAAAAATTTATATTTCAAATAAATGCTGTTCTTTTAAACTTTACATTCAAGAATCCAGAAAAATGTATCACTGTTTTCACAAAAAATATTCAGCAGCACAACTGTGTTCAGCACTGATAGTATCAGAAATGTTTGTTGAGCAGCAAATCAGCATATCAGAATGATTTCTGAAGATCATGTGACACTGAAGACTGGAGGAATGATGCTGAAAATTCAGCTTTGATCACAGCAATGAATTACATTTTACAACATACTCAAATAGAAAACAGCAAGTTAAATTGTAATAACATTTCACAATATTATAAACACAGCCTTGGTAAGTAAAAGAGAATTCTTTCAAACAAAGACATTAAAAAATCTTGCTGACCCCAAACTTTTGAACTTTAGTGTGTATACTGTATATACAGGTGAATCTCAATCAATTAGAATGTCGTGGAAAAGTTCATTTATTTCAGTAATTCAACTCAAATTGTGAAACTCGTGTATTAAATAAATTCAATGCACAAAGACTGAAGTAGTTTAAGTCTTTGGTTCTTTTAA